AATACAGCTCAGTTGCAAGCAAAAGAAACGGCTTTATGGCTCAACTCAACTTAGCTCGAGCCAAGGACAGGGAGGCGAGTTAAAAGTAGGTCGGTGTTACAAGTCAGGTCACCGAGATGGTAAAACACGTGGATCCTGAAAGTTACTTAAGACAAAAATAATGTCGTTTTGATAGGGTATAAAAGCTCAAATTTCTTTTTTTGCTCCAAATTTCCTCTGCTACCTTTTTCTCTTCTTTCTTTTTTCTCTAATTCTCTTTAGAATTCAAGAAAATTGGTTGAAGCCTTCACTAAATTCTAGAAAATAGCATTAGAATCTAGGTTGAGTTGTCAAAATCTTCAAGTTTCATCGAAAACTTCAAATTTCATTGGAAACTTCAAATTTTGTTGGAATCTTCACCAGAATCTAAAAAAAATTGCCTAAATCTACAAATTTTTTAGATTTTTTTATAAAAAAATCATTAATTTTTTTTTTATTTTGCTAATCTCTCTTTCTTCTACTGTATCTTTTTTTCTACCTATCCTTGTGTATCTCTCTGTGTGTTTCTCTTTGATCTGTGTGTGTTGAGGCTTGATTATGCTCTCTATTTATAAGGTTTCGATCTAAAGAAACCTAATCCATAAAGGTCTTTGATTCCCTTTAAACCTTTCTTTCAGATTTTAGATTCAACTCAACTTTTACAATCTAATCAAACAATTTCGCACAAATTGAACCATTTGTTTTTTTTTTCTTTTTTTTTTTTAGTTTTTTATTTTTATTAACAAAATCAAACTCAAGTAAAATCTCAAACAGATTAAGGTATCTAAAAAATTAATATTTACTCAAACCTAAAAAGAAAGAGAAAGAAAATTTGTTGTGATAAAATAAAATTCTAATTATACATAGAAATGTAATATAATACAATAAAAACAATAGTATAGAATCATATAGATCACTTAATGCACAACATGACCCAAATTGCACAAGCGAAACCTTTCATATGACAATGAATGATAATATCAAAATTGTAACTATAAAATAGCAACTTTAACTCTAACCCAAGAGAGAAAATTAAAATTGAAAGTTTGAATATTTTAGTTATTTTTAACATTGTTTTAATTATTTTCCAATCATTATGAAATCATGCTTTTTTTAGTAAATTTAATTTGTGATTTAGCAAGTAGAAAGTGGCTTATCCATCCCTGATACTGAAATAAATTTATTGAGTTTATTTTTTTGTTTGTTTGTATATCATAATAAAAAAAAATTACCATTGGTGGATTATAATTAAGCAGATTTACCGAAATTGAAAAAAAACGAAAAGAAAGTAAAAGTTAAAGCTAAGTTGAGTTGATTGAATGAAGAGTCAACGGCAAAGATAAAAAATTTATGTACAACAAGTACAAAATATAAAAATAAATGTTCCTATAACTTTACACTTTATAATATATTAAAATAAACGAATCAAAGTTAAAAACAAATGACTTACTGTACACATCTACAAAAGAAAAAAAAAATACATATATAACTTTTAGTTTTTAATACATGAAGAAAAAAGCAAACAAAGGTGGAGAACTAAACACCAAATAAAATTTATTTTAAATAATGAATTATTTTTAAAAGATATATATTATATAAATTATCAAGAAATTAAATTTTATCTTTTTGAATAATAATAAAAGATTATTATGAAATCTATTAAAGATAAAACTAAATTTGATATTTTTAAATTTAAAAAGAAAGATATCTAAATTATTAAAAAATAGTTTTAAAAGATAAAAAGATATTTATTTAAATTATATATATCTAAATTATTAGAAAATTAATTTGGATAACTAGTAATTTTTTAATACTTTTATTTATTTGATAAATACCATAAAATTATTAGTAAATTAATTTTAGAAGATAAAAAGATATATCTTTAAATTCCATATAAATTATTAGAAAATTGTTTTTGGATAAATTAAATTTTTTTTGATATTTTTATTTATTTCATTAATTTTAAAAGATAAAAAGATATATATTTAAATTTATATAAATTATTAGAAAATAAATTTTAGATAACTAAGAATTTTTAAATACTTTTATTTATTTAATTAATACCATAAAATCATTAGAAAATTAATTTTATGTGATAAAAAGATATATATATATATATATATTAGGTTATATTTATGTAAATTATTAAAAAATTAATTTTGAATAAGTAATACTTTTAGATATTTTTTATTTAGTTGATAAATAGTACAAAATTGAAAATTGTTTATTAGTGCAAGTGTAGTACCAATAAATAAGATTGTATTTTATTGAAAATTTTAGCATGTATGTGATCTAAATAGTTTATTCATGGAATTTTGCTTAGTGGATTTTTCATAATAATTAATTTTTGTTTGTTTTTAGATCATTATAAAAAAGACATTACCATAGGTGGATTATAAATAGATTTAAAATGATTGTACAAAAAAAAAAAGTAAAAGTTAAAGCTGAATCGAGAGAAAAAAATTACCTAATTTAGTGAAAAATAAGGATAAAGATAAAAGGCCTATATGCAGACCAACAAAATATAAAAATAAATGTTATTATAATTTTACGCTTTTATAATATATCAAAAAAAGAATTAAAGAAAAAACAAATGCCATATCGTAAATACCTAGAAAAAAAAAAGAATCAAAATTAAAGAAAAATTATTTACCGTAAACACCTACAAAAGAAAAAAAAAACCTTATTTAACTTGCATTTTGCAATAGAAAACGAAAATGAGGTGCAAACGACGAGGGAGAATTAAACACTAAACAGAATTTATGTTAAAGAATGAATTATTTTTAAAAGATATATATAAATTATTAGGAGATTAAATTTGATCTTTTTGAATAATAAAAGACTATTATGAAATCTATTAAGATAAAACTAAATTTGATATTTAAATTTAAAAAGATATTATCTAAATTATTAAAAATTAATTTCGAAAGATAAAAGATATATATTTAAATTATATATTATTAGAAAATTAATTTTGGATAACTAATTGTTTTTAAATACTTTTATTTATTTGATAAATAACATAAAATTATTAGAAAATTAATTTTAGAAGATAAAAAAGATATATATTTAAATTATATATATGTAAACTATTAGAAAATTAATTTTGGATAACTAATCATTTTTAAATACTTTTATTTATTTGATAAATAACATAAAATTAGTAGAAAATTAATTTTAGAAGATAAAAAATATATATATTTAAATTATATATATGTAAACTATTAGAAAATTAGTGCTGGATAACTAATAATTTTAAATATTTTTACTTATTTGATTGATTTTAAAAAATAAAAAATATATTTAAATTATATATATTTGAATTATTATAAAATTAATTTTGGTTATTTATTTTTCAGATTTTAATTATTGATTTGGTTTGTAATTATAATTTGAATAATTTGAATATTTGAGTAAATTCAAAATTATTCAATTTATAATTAAAAAGAACCTATACTCTTTAAAAATATATCTTACGTATCTTTTAAAAAATATCCATATAGATGCTTATATAACAAATCTTATCATATATTTATTTATGTTATAATATACATATACATATATGATTTAACTGTTTGTAGGAACATCTCCACATAAAATTTTTTTCCCAAACAAATTTCGAATTTAGGCAACTAAAAATTGAAAGGTGCCGCAATAGCTATTAATTGCAATGTGTAAACCAATCACCCATATTGCTCTATTACCAAACACTGCCATCTTGCAAATAAACAACATTTCGTTTACAATCATTATTATATAATTAATTAATTATAATTTAAAATTATATAAAATCCATGCGAAATTTACACTTATAACTGATAAAATCTTACATAATTTTTTATTATCAACGTTAACAAATTTTGACATTTAGTTTTCAAAAAATAACTAATAAAATATAATATAATTTATCTTATTTTTTGGAATGTCGCATTTTATCATATTTATTTATATTTAAAAAACAAATTTAAAATTATAATATAATTTATCTTTCTATCATACTTACTGATTTATATTTAAAAAATTAATTTAAAAGTATAGAAGAATTTATCTTATTTTTTGAAATGATATATTCTATCTTACTTATTCATTTTATTTTAGAAAATTAATTTGGTTTCTGGTAAATTACCGTGATTATAATTTAAAATCTATAACAATTTTTTAGATTCACAGGATAACTTAGTGAGATTCACTCTTTACTTTCTATGTATTCTTAAAACTTCTTAACTATTTATATTTTAAAACGTTAATTTAACTTCCATTAAATTAATATGATTATAATTTAAATTTTATAACGAAGTTCTTTTCTTCACAAAATAGCATAACGAGATTCTCATCTTTTATGTATTCTTAAGACCAACTATCAATTTTAGAACTTTCAAGTACTCATTATTAAATATAATAAATTAACTCTTAAATTGCAATGAATAGAATTAAATTAGGAAAAAATATAGAATTAACATTTTTTCTGTTTAGAGGCTATTTAGATGTATTTAATCCTAAAGGGTTTTTAAAAGTTTTGTGGGACCAAAGCCCCCTGAGGCTCTCAGGCGCATCCCATTACGGGCCGCTTTGATTGTGACTAAATAAATATAGAATTAAAATGAAAAGAAAATTATAAATGCCTCTCCGGAAACACTGTAACAAATACCAAGTTATTAATTGTTTTAAAACCCCGTCAGAAAAATAAGAGAGATTTGACAAATAAAAATCTTGATTTGATTTGATAAGAGAGTACTAACTGTTTAACCCGAGAAGCCGCCCTTTATCAGCAGCCGCCATTCCCTTCCAAAATCTCAGACCAGACCAGATAGCCAGTTCATCAGACGCACCCTCCTCCCTCAAAAAAAAGCAACCCCCGTCTCATTCAATTTTTAAGGTATCAAAACTGCACCAACCGGGGCCCCAGTCCCCCGCCGAGCCAATCACCCAAACATTCAACACCCTCCCACAATTCCACTGGGAAAAGGATTTTAATGGTAGCAATACCCAAGGACCTAGAGCTAAAAGCTCAACTACATAAATTAATTAATGTGGCATAAAAACATTCTTAACTAGTATAAAATAAAATATAGATAAAATGTTAATCGGTCATGTGTCACTTCAATAGGGTGCGCCGGATGAGGCTGACTGCACCTGCAACAAGTGGTGGTAACAATCGGCTGCAGTTGGCCTCTGCTCCGGGTTCTGATCCAAGCACCTATTTTGCAACTCCCTCAGCATTTTTGGCACGTTTGTGAGCCCACAGGTCTTCACCAAGTGGCCTACCCCCCACACGTCCACTTTCACCCCATGTAAACCCCTCCCCATCTCTGGCGCGTGCCTTGCACGCGCCTCCACTTCTGCGGCTGTGTGCGGGTATATCTGTGGTGCACCCACTGCCTCGTCGAACCCGCAAACGAACCATTCGTTTTCTCTGTCGCTCCTTCTCAGCACTTTGTCCCAACCCAAGTCCCGGTGCATGAAGCATAAGTCATGTAGGGCTACCAATGCTTTAGTCACGTACTTGAGAGCTTCCACAAGTTGGTCACAGTTTACGGGCTTGAATTTGCATCCCCTAGGCTTAAACAACAATGTAAGATCCTTCTCAGATGCCCGACAAATAAATTCGGCGTGAGGGATTCGGTGATCCAGGATATCATATATTTCTTTCACTGCTGCCCATTTTTTCTTGCTCGAGAATGATCTTATCACCGTATTTGGTGTCATTTCCATTATATTTCCATTTCCCAAATCAATTCTTTCAAAATCGCTGAATGGAAATTGCTTGTAAGAGCCAACATTATTGACGTTGTTGAAGCACCGGTCAGCTAGCAACGGCAACAGACCTGCTATTCTACAGCAAGGGACTAGGGCTTTTAGTCTCTCAGAGGGGGAGGATAAATCTACTGAATATAAATCTGTCCTGATAATGCGATCTTGTGACCGGCTTAATGCGCAAAATGTTACCATGTAGCCAACAGCATAATAGCCTAATATGTACGGAAGATCCATGTAAGTCCATAGCAACTTCTCCACGATAGAAGATGGTGGGTCAAGTTGACCTTCCCTCAGTTGATCAGTCTCCTCTCCCCTCCACAAGCAAAAATTTCTAACAAAACCTGTTACGTTTGGCCATTGATCCTGCAATGGCTGATCAGCTGATGATGATGAAGGTTTTCGGATAATAACCATTTCACCAGAACAAAATTTGGACACAACCCTACTGATGCAATCATCCCAAAGGCCAATATAAGAGTCTCTGCCTGTGGCAGTAGCAGCACTGAGACTAGGGTTGGTGCGGATAATTGGGCTCAAAATATCATATATGATAGCTCTACAATCTAACAGTTCATTAGAAGTAGTAAATAAAACTTCTTTACCGGGTGGCAGATCTCGGTACACATCTCTCCTTATGGGAAATCGATATTCCTCAGGTGGTGGCTCTTGTAAGTGCCATGAAAGCTCAAACAAGCTTGGCAGTGTCGTTGGGGGAACTCGAAGGCAACCGACGTAGTAGTCTGTTGGGTCTTGGAACTCCAACGGAGGCATTGCTGCAGCAACCAAAACAATAATCTTATCAGCGCATGCATATTTCCGGAAATTCAGTGCAATAGCAAATAAATTTCAAACACGGAAATGGCTCATAGAAACACTTTCTCCGAGGCAGCCATCAGGTAGTCAAGACATTAGATGCTAATTCAAGGTTCAAGATCTAGATTGCTGCCCTTAAGGGAAAGAAAAAGAGGTTGAAGGTTTCGTAAAATGAACAATAGTTTTAATTGGACTTACATCTGATAGAGGGTTCTGCAAACGGAAGCTGAGCTCTTTCAATGATACCTGGTATCATTAGAGAGAGAGAGGGTGACTTTTAGATGAAGATTCCTGAACAGTTTCAGAATTAGAAACATTAACAAACATGTTTGTACCAGAAGACGCAGAAGCTGCGGACGACTTTCTCCTGCCAAATACTTTCACTTGCTGTCCATTGACGAACCTATCAAAGGAGAAGCCTTTTAGAGGTCCATCTTCAATGGCTTCCATTGAGCAAGCAACCATGGCATCGTCAAAGAAAGCGAGTTCATCTGCGTTCAAAAAGCTTGAACCTTGAAGTCTCACTCTTCCTCTATGGTGCTCACCTTCTTCTGCCCATAAACTTACAGACTCCTCCCATGTCATTCTTATCTTCCCAATTCTACGAAGTTCCTTTGAAGATGAAGAAGGCAGACCGGCACCAACGTCTAGCGAAGTGTCGAACCCTAACAGACTTCCTCTAGTTCCATGAAAGAAGGCATCACCTCCACCAGTTGCTACCAGTTGTTTTGTCCTAACTAAAGGAAAAAACATATAATAACACCAGCCTCTTGCTTTAGCTATTTTAAAGAATACAAACTATAAAAAAAAAAAAGAAAAAAAGAAAGAAAGGATCTTGGCTTACCTGAGAGAGGAAGTTCATCTTCTTTGCAAGGAGGGGGAGGAGGCAGAGCTCTAGAACCAGAAAGAACCGGCCGACCATCACCACTAGAAGCAATTGCAGAAGCTCCTCTGCTTTGAGAAGTTCTCATGCGAGGACCCATGAACTGAGACAGCTCCTCAAAGACTTCCTCATCAAAGGAAGCGGGTAATCTATGTAGTTTCCTCTCATAAGGAGAAAGTCTGAAATAACTCTTGCCTACTTGTTCTTTTTCCCCTCTCTCCCATTCATACACTTTTCTAAACTCGCCTAGCATATTATCCCACTTAGTACCAGCAGTTTTGGCATCTCTATTGATCCCATGTTTGTTTAAGAACTCGGCTACTTCCCTATCCTTGTCAGCCCTAGTTTTGCCTCTTGTTGATTGGACTGCAACATCGCTGACTGCGAAATGACCAATCTCTTGGTGGCCAATTCTTGAAGAATAGCCAGACGCATCAGACCCTCCTTGATATTGAATCCTCCAAGCCCTTGCTAGCCATAACATCTCATTCGGTTTCCAAACGGGGCTGACATATTTCCCCTTTCTGAACTGATGGTGAAATTGCTCTCCTTCTGGCTTGTTTGTTTCTTGGCCTGAAGTTGAGGTTGGGAGAGGAGAGTTGGGTGGAGATAAGGCTGTGTCTGAGGAGGAAGCAGCTGTTATAGGCGCCTGAGTTTGTGGGTTTATGGGGTTTCTGGTTGGTGATGGGCTTGATTCGCTGGTGGTTATAGCCATTTGGGCTTGTGACTGTAAGGAAGATGGTGATGGGAGTAGTTTCCATTGGCCACTGTTGTATCGAGGTCTCTTGGGATTCACTGACTCAAATTGTTGTTCAAAGGGAGAAGTTGCAACAATTGGGACATATAAAGGCGCAGAGATGAAAGGAGGTCCAGTGGCTGTGACCACAACAGCTGAAGTTTGCTGGAGATGTTTTTGCCTAGATTCTGAGGATTCCTCGGGGGGCTCTTTGGGAGAAGAAGAGAGTTGTTGTTGTTGAGTTTGCTGGGGTGTTTGCTTCTTGGTTGTATCTCCTTTGTTGTCACCCATCTCAAATGGGCCCAAACAATAGATGCCCAGAGAGAAAAACCTTAGACAAAAACCAGAACAGGAAGCACAAGCACCATTACTGTGGAACTAGGCTGGTTGAAGATAGTGGTCTCTCTCAAAGTTGTATTTGTTTTCTAGCCAAAACTTCACTAGCGTGGGTTTTTGTGGGCTCTTTTGGAGTTTTGATTGCTAGCGTATCTCGAAATGGGAAAGTTGAAAAATATAGGAAATCGTAGAAAGCTAAAGCAACTATCTTATCTAGGCCAAGAAAGAAGTAACAGAAAAAGTCGAGATTGTGGAACTGCCACGAATAAGACCCTTCAGTTAATTATCAGTTAGTACAACCACACATTGTTATGTTGATGTGTGATTTTGACAAGTAAGAGCAAGCAGAGAGAAGAGTAGGATTTAATATATACTCACAATAACAAGAAATAATATAGAAAATAATCTACGTTCACGATTAGATTTAGGGGGAGGGATCATGGTTGTACTGGAACTACAAAACAAAACGCGGCTCCAAAAAACACTTTTCCCGTTTTCCACTAACGTTGTTTTATCCATTGCATTGCATTTAACTATTGTTACTTTTTGTTATTGAAAGATAGAAGGGAGAGAGGGTTCCAACTTCCCGCGTCGAGTGAGGGGGCGAGTGGAGCCTGGGGGAAGAGGGAGTCTGCGGGTATGCAACTCTGCAGAGTATTTTGGTTGCAGAGGTATCCATCGATGTGGACACTTCGAATCCATGGCTCTGCTCCAATCACTCCCTTTGCTTGGCATGTCTTTGCCCTATTTTTGGCTTTAATTTCCCTTCCCTTCCCTTCCCTTCCCTTCCTTAACAACCGGATTAAATTAACATTAAAATTTTGTAGGAAGATGCTCTGCCTAACACTACTTTTACTTTGTAGAGTGGACTCTTTTTTCTTTTAATAGAAAAGTAGAGTTTCAATTAATTATAATCGCTGCAAGAATATCACTCAATTAATAATTTTTAAAACTTTTTAATAAAAATAATTACTTAATTCAAATCAATAATACTAGTAATTTATAGCAATAATAATTAATTAATTAATTAATATCCTAAGCAAGTACCATTTTTCTTTTGTTGAATAATTAATAATTATTTCTATATTTTTATGTTATTGAGTAATATTTTCTTCTACTATTTTTTTTTCAACTTCATTTTTCGCGAATATAAACATTTACACCCTAAAGTGAAGTACTATTTATAGTAATAATAATTATATAAAAAAGATGAGACCAATGAAATCAAAACCATAAAAATTTAGTATGAGATGGTTGTTTAAATTTGCGCGTTAATTCTCAAAACCAATGTCTTGGATTTTTCCTATTGATAACTTATTCCCCAATGATGATAGTAGGGGCTAGCATATACATAGCATTAGGTAGTGGACAAAACAAGCTTTCTTTTTCTTTTTTTTTTGTTGGTTAGAAAAAAAAAAAAAAGAAACCCTTAATTCACCTAAAGGCATTTCAATTTTCGACCAATAATAAGATAATAAAATATTTCATGTGATTACTTGTAAAATGGATATGAAATTTTAAATTTTAATATTTATAATTCATAACTTTAAATTGTAACCTTTTGTATTAAAAATATATATAATATTTATTTATTTAGTGGAGTCCCCATCGTTGTCAAAAATAAAAAACAAAGAAATCCATCGCGGTCCTATCAAAAGAAGGTGGGATAAATGAAGGAGACACAAAAGAAGCAGAAGATCTCCGTTAACAATACTCTCTTTGGAGGTGGCGTTTACTCTCTCCAACACACAAAAAAAAAAAGGCAGCCAGCACCATGGCATGCAGGCCGGCGCAGTGTTGGCAGTGAATAGTGAAAGAGTGCTGACTGCCCAACCATTTGCCAAAAGGCACTTCTCTTCGCGGCCGCCAAAACCAAACTTCTAGAGCCATAGCTCTTCAATTATCTTCTTCGCCTGCTCTTACTCTCTCCCAACTTCAATAACTCCATCGCTTTTTCTAACTAATATTTATTAAAGGTGTTTTGTTTATATGCCATTGCCATCTCTCTCGTTTTCCTCAGGTACGATTTTCATTTTTATTTGAAAAAATTTATTCAAAATTTACCTTTTTTTTTTTACACTCAAAATTGTCAAAAATGAAAATAATTATATACATTCCTTGAAAACACTTTTTAAAATATTTCTTAAAAACAAATTTTTTTTTAACTTAAAAAAATGGCTTCATTTACTTTCGTGTAACATTTTTGTATCATTTTCAAGATTCATTAGCTTCATTACACTATTGTTTGTCTATATTAGATCAGATCATTCCGATTCACTTGCTCAAATTTACTTATCACTTCATATCTTGAATTAGGTGGATACGCACAGGTAAATTTTAGAATCCTTTTATTAATTTAGGACTTTTTTCTTATTGATATGACAAAAATGTGGCATACATTCATGATCATGCATCATGTAATAATTTTAAGAATGCATGATGATAAGTCATATAATTACATCTGGGTTCTAGTAGCACTATCTTTTAAGATGATGGATAGTTTTTGTAGGCACCAATTTTGTTCTTTTTTATTATTATATATAATTTTGTTTATTATATTATTATTATTAATCTTTAAAACAAAAGGAAAAAAAAGTAAAAAAAAAATCTTTGATTTCAACTTTGACAGTCAAAATTAAGCTGTCAAAGTGGTTCAAATTTCTCCTTAACACTGCTTAACTTGGCAGCATAAAATTTAGCGACCAAAAGTCATCGGATAGACATCCAAATTTTTAAAAAAAGATCTCAAAAGATCTGGGATCTTGAATTTCAAAAGCTCTATAAATAGAACTAATTTTTGCAAGGGAAAACAAGAGAGAACAAAAAAAAAAGAGGGGGAACACACATAATAAAAAAAAACCCAACAGCAAACACAAAAAAAAAAATTTGAGAATGAAATTCTCAATATTTTTTTTGAAAAATCTAGGTTTGGAAAGGTATTTAGAAAGCGAAAAGGATCACTAGGGAATTTTTTAAAATTTTTTAGGTCACCAAAATTTGAAAAAATTTAAATTTTTCGACCACCGTTTGAATTTTTCAGCAATCAAATCTGGGTTCATTGCTAGAATCTAAAAATTTTTAATTTTTCGATGTCGATTGAAGTTTTTGACCACCGATGCAAGGTGACGACCGATCAAAAATTGGATTGTCACGGCGGCCGACGAGGGGTGCTAGGATTTTAGAGAGAAGGGGGAAAGAAAAAATAAAGAAAAAATAAAAAAGAAAAGCTAAAACAGGCCTTTTATAGGCCATCCAAAACTATGCCGTTTTAGGAGTCTGAACCGAACTCGACCCGCACAGGATCCGCTCGTTGACCAGCGCACCAACCCAACCCGTTTTTCAGGTTTTTTTTCTTTTTCTTTTTATTTATTTTCTATTGATTTTTATGTTATTTTTTTATAATGTTATTATTATTATTTTATATTATTACTAGTAATAATTTTTAGAAACAAATAAATAAATAGATTAAAAATAAAACTAAAATAAAATAAAGACCTAAAAAATATAATATGCAAAAAAATTAATTATAATTATTATTTAACGAAAATAAACTTTGTTACAAGCAAAAATATTATTTAAATTTCATCAAAGTATTGGAATAATTTAAAAATAAATAAATAATTTTTGCTAAAAATAATAAATTATAAAAAATAATAAATAAAATAAAAAATAAATTATTTAAATGAATCTTTTAAATGTAATTTTTGGAGAAAGTTAAAGGAGTTTAATTTTCTTTAATTATTGCAAGTAAAAATAATTTTTTGAATTTCACCATGGAGTTGAGATAATCCCAAATTATTTTTGCTAGAATAAAGATCGATTTAAACAATATAAAAATTAATAAATAATAATAATAATTGATATTTTGAATATTTAAAAATATAAAAAATTGAAAGAGTTTGATTTTCTTCAATACAAACAAGAGATTAATATTTAGATTTCACCAGTGAGTCGGGATAATCTAAATTTTTTTTATAAAAAAATAATAAATAATAAATAATACAAAATTTTAAAATAATCATAATATTTAGATTTTATCAAAGAGTTGAGATAATCTTAAAATTTGTTTAATAAATTTTGAGAACTCATAAAAAAGTCGAGATGTTCCTAAAATCATTTTAAAATAAATAAATAAAATATCTTATGATAAGATTTCAAGAATTTTGTGAATGGTCAATTTTCTCGAAATATTTTTTAAATAGTGATTTTTTATAAAATCCACCAAAGCATTGGAGAATTTATAGAATACGAAATAATAATAATAATAATATTAATTTCAAAACAGAAAAAAATATTTTAAAATAAAATTTAGGAAATTAAACTTAAATAAAAAGACCCCGTTATCAAAATTATAGGATTACACATGTTTAAATGATACCGTTCTTCGAACGGGTGATATGAGGGTGCTAATACATTTTTCATTCATAACCGTACTCCTGAACCTAGTCCTGATTTCATAGATCTAAACTTCTTTTAGTAAGTTTTAATTAATTTTAAAATTTTTTACTAAAAGATGATATTTTGGGTGGCCAATCACACCCTATAAAAATATTGGTGGCAACTCTAAAAATTTTCACCAAGTCTAGCGATCGAGTCCCCTCGGATGAAAAATCGTTATGACAGCTTGGCAACTCCACTGGGGATATCTGAGAGTCAAGCCAAAAAATTAAACATGCGTCATCCAAAATTTGACTTCATGGTCTTTTCGATATTTAATTTTAATTTCTTATCTCATCTTCAAATATTAATCAGTTTTCATTTGGTTGCGATATGTTATTATTTTATATTATTGCTAATTATGTTGTTAATTTTATTTGTTACATTCCCTTACACACGTGCACATTTGCATTCATGCATGAGCTCTATACTCGGGCTCTCAAATGTATTCCTTTTTAGGAATGAGTAGAGTACCTACGCTTTCGTGAGGTTATAATACCTCCGCTTGGGCTAGCGAAATACTTTCACTCAAGTTAAACCCTTTCCATCAGTAGCCTGTTATGGGTGAGGATTGGGGCTTTATTAGTCTAGAGTGGATGACAGTAAGGATTAATTTGAGAACTTTTTTAGCCTATGTTAATTACCAAATCATTCATATAGTGTACCTTAAGAAATCAACTTTAGATAAGGCCATACCATTTTTTATTATACCCTAAATTAGGACATATAAAGGAATATTCATTTTAATGTGATTACTAACCCTATTT